TAGAACCTGGACTCTGAACCAGGGTCCCAGGTACTTTCGTCCCAGTGCTGCTCTTCACAATTTCAAACAGGAAAGTCACTCCTCACTATGGTGGCATTGGTATAGAAGTTCCCACAGCGTCAATCAATGCAGCGCGAGTTCTCTTGAAAAAGAACGCCTCAGTTACAACTGTAACCTCGGTTCACTGAAGAGGGAACGATACGCTGCGTCACCTTGTCATACCTCCTATGCCTGTCAGAGACTTACTTCATACTATCAAGAACCTAGCGCTGCTTGGTTTGGCTAGGCTTTATAGTTTCCTGGTTTGTGACGTCACCACACCATTGGACTAATTTCACATGTGCTTTCAAGACGTAATCACGCAGAAAGTTCAGCCTTGTTCACACTACATGATTTTAAAACGTCGGGCTGAACTGTGCGGTTCACACTACATGATTGCTCTCAGTGAAATCAGGAGTGTTCAAGTTGTTTAGCTGTTCACACCACACAACACAACGTGATTGATCCACAACAGGAGGTAACTCACTACACAAGTTGACAACGCACTACATAGAGATACAACCACGATCGGATGATAAGAGCAAAATCAATGAGAGCTGATGACTCAATGAGAGCTGTTTCAGTACTATGTTACGGTCTAAGTCCTGAAAATAATCAAATAAATAACGAGTTGACAACAACTCTGTCACCCAACGATTCTATCTTGTCTACAAACCACGTTTTATCACGAAAAAACAATAAAATGAATAAATAAATATTGCGCCAATACCAAGCGAAGATGAGAACACAACATGTGAATATGGACGTCAGACAGACAGTTTGCGCTACGATCTGCTCTGAGAAAAAAAAAAGAAAAAAAAAAAAGAAAAACTAAGATTTACCTGGTGTCCTCAACCCATGCGTTGCTATGATTGGCTGTACTCATGACAACACTGAGTTTGAGTCGCGCTACGGCTCTGGATATCTAGCAGGCTAGATATTTTTCTGGGCTAGGCGACGCGTCTGCGAGGTGTCTGCGAGCGTTTTTGCTGCGTAGTTGGCTCTTTCATACTAACAGATTGGCAAGCGTTCATCGTCCGCTAATTCCCCGCGATTTGCGCGCAATAACACCCTGACCTGTCGGCGAGCTCAACGATTTGCAAATCGGGCATAAATTAGGCTTATAATCCTGTAGTGTGAACTAGCATTCCCTTGAAAGGGAACCAGAATAACATTTCCTCTAAAAGAAAATAATTTGCAAAAGCCTCTAAGTCTTTTTCTTTAATATTAAAATCTAAGTACTGACATTTCTGAATGGGCTGAAGCTGGGATTTAGTGAGTTTGAAGTGAAAATATTTAATGAACGTATACTATGTGCAGAGAGCATTCACTTAGAGAGCATTCACTATACGCTTTTAGAGGCTTTTGCATCGGAGGTATTATATATGTGTGTGTGTGTGTGTGTGTGTGTGTGTGTGTGTGTAAGTAAGCATATAAAACTTTTTTTTTCTTCATACAGCAACCACTAGCTGCCACACAAGACAAGAAGATGAAACTATTCAGCTCAGGGAAAATGTCATTGACTGCGACAACATACAAAACTGGTTATATACAAGGTGACCAGTGTAGCTCTCAGTCAATGCTGAATAAACTGAAGAGTCTATGTCAATTTCAGTTTGTCTATTTTTGTATTACTAATAGCCTATGTTGTCTTTAATTCCTTATTATTGCTGCAGGTGAAACCATCTCAGTTTTTGTTGATATTGACAACTCTTCATCTCGTGACGGAAAATTAAATTACAGCCTCATCCAGCAACAGATGTTCCTTGCTGGCAGAACAACTAAAAGAATATTAAGATACATAGTTTGAGACTGAAGATCGCATCCCTTCTGGAGAAAAGCAAAAATTCATAGTAAACCTGAAGATTCCATGTGACCTACTGTCACGACTGTAACCTGCAGAATTATAAATGTACAGTACCAACTCAAGGTGCTATTTCGTCTTCCTTATTTGCTATTTTTAAAGGGATATTTCATCCCAAAAAATAAAAATTCTGTCATCATTTACTCACCCTCATGTCATTCTAAACTTGTATTCCACTGTCGGGCCAAAAGCGGGCGTCCTTGTGCGTGCTAGGGCCAGTACCGTTTTCACTGTCACTTCTGGGCTTGATCGGACCTTGTTGGGGCTTCCTCTGGGCCAGCGGCCAGGGTTTTCTGGCCCGCCGATTACCTCGGTCAAAAGCGGGCCAGCTCCGGCTAGAGGAGTGGTTACAAACAGAGGCAGGGTTTACCTGAGTCCTGAGACGGCAGCTCTGTATGATTCTGTCAGCATTAAAGCTGCTTTAAAGATGCTTGGGTTTAAAATATTCAAGTAAACAACAAAAATGCCAGCAAACGGTCGCTTTTATCATGTTCGTTTTTGCGATCACGCTGTTTCCAGTGATTTCTTTGATTTGTTGGTGAAAAGATGGCTTAGTGTGACATTGTTCTAGAGAGGCGTGTTAAGGACGTGTTTTAGTGAAGCACTGCAGAGATTCTGGCCCGACAGTGGAAACACAGCAGATTTTGGCCCCGGTTCTACAGGCGCAAAGGCTTTTAGCCCATGGCCCGTTTAAAGCCCTGGCTCGCTCTGACCCGACAGTGGAAACACGACTAGTGTCCTCCCACGGCAAGGGGAGGACGGCAAGGCTCAACTGGAGGATTCCAGCCATATCCGCCACCTTAGCCTAACCTTGTGCCCTATCCTGGTGGACCACCACCTTCATATGCAGAAGTTTACCCCAATCTGAATGACCCTTCAGTCCTGCCCTATTCAGGAACTGCTGCAGGGCTTTACCCAAATCCAAATGCAATGATGCCTGTTTTCTATCCGACTCCATCCGCACCAGTTTATGATCCAAATCAAAGCACTAAAGAATCCTCTCCTAATGTGTCTCATTAGTCTTGTTCAGCAGAAAATCTTCTACCACTTCTGATGTCAAGTATAATTTGACAGAACTTAAAATGGTGTTTATTATTGTGATAAACAAGGATTTTTCAATTTACAGGAAATGTAGCTCTAGATATATATATATATATATATATAAAAAAAAGTTACCTCTGACCACTGAAACAAACTTATTTAGCTAAATCCAATAGTACTATAATGTATTGATACTGTGTTTTTTGCACTTCTGACCTCGACCAATTTCTTTGCCTGTGGTCTAGTTACTTTCCTTTATTGTTTATTAATCCCACGTACGCATCTGTTTTGTTTTCGGTTGATTACTATTTATGGCGTCAGTTTCCTCAGTTCATTGGCTGGTATTGTTTGTGTTTGTTGTAGTTGTTACCTACTGAGTTTGTTATTGGAATTATTATTATTGGACTCTCGACACAAATCTCTAGGCATCAAATATCCGCTATCACATACTTTAACCCCTTATTTAAGATTAGTCTCACTCACATATTAAGTCTAAGTATTAGGCTACAATAAAACTTGGTGCTTGGAACTTTCAAGCATCTTAGCAAAGAAACTGGACTGTTCTTCATCAAAAAAGGCAGAAGCTAAATGAATAAACACATGTCTTACATTTTAGTTGTGATCATGCATCTATTTCAGGCATTGGCAAATTCAAATGAGATTTTGAACATAGCCTACTGTACATCCCCACCCCCATCTGAACTTGTACACAAAGTTCCTTTATGTCAACAGTCTGACAGCTCAGCCCAACCCATGTTTACATTTCTCTACTGACCAACAATTTCTACTAGTTTATAACTACAGTTCAATTTTTGAAAACTGTGTTATGTTGTTCAGCCATGTGCACACACCAGTCCAGGTAAGAATTTTCAGAGTCTAAAGACACGTTCACTCTACTGTAACATGAACATTAATGTTAGTTGCTAAAGTGTAATGCTAAAATTTTTAGCAACTTACTTTTCCCAAGGACCAGTAGCCGTCATCCACTTGTCAGTATAAGTCACACTGAAACAAAAAAGAAACATCTACTTAGAAAAATGAATTAATTTAAACAATATTTAAGCAATAGTTAAGCTGAAACCGGGAAAGTTATAATTAGGCTGTATTATTTGACTTCCGTTGGTTTCGAATAACAGTTCTCCAATCAACCACTAGAGAGCACCAGAATCCATCGTAATTCCTTCACACAAAAGTGACTAAAGCAAGAATTACTCAAGAGTTTCTGCAGCCGCAGGGTGGAGCATGTCCTGTAGATCTAAATCTTCAAGAGAAATTATGAAAATCAACCTCATCTATAATATGATCGCAATTATTTCTGCTTCTTATGCCATCTTTAAAGGAAACCGAAGCTCACCATGGAAATGAGTTACACAGTTTAATACAAATGCTTAAAAACGAGAATAACAGTTGGATCGCATTAATATTTAAAATATGAAACTAGACTATGTAGAAATGAAATAAAACAATTGGGAGAGGGATGTTAAAAGGCAACTCATTTCAATTGACATTTGTGACTTAAAGTTGGTACCAATTTGCATCAATTCATCTTTCAATCAATCAAAAAATGTAACACAAAGCAGCGCCATGAAAATGCCACTGACCTCCAGGTAAATCTCTCTATCAATCTCTGATACATTTTTCTGCACTCGATGGACGCGGTAAAATGTATAACAATAAGCAATAACCAACTTTGAATAAAAACATTGCATTATTTAAGTCGTCATAGGTTGGAAAATAACATTGTTTAAGGTGTTATTTTTCCTGTTGTGCATTCCCCTTGAGTAAACAGAGCACAAATTAACATAACACAAGTACTCTATAACCAAACTGTTAAAATATTAATGTGGAACTCTACCTAAACGTGTGAAAAATGTTTAGACTTCCACGTATTATTTTAATGCACTGCTCAGCTGTTCGCTGTTATTTTAGACAATTGTCTCCTCCTGTACCCGGTCAAAGAACTGCACAAAAAGCGGAAGAAGGGGGACGGATAAGAGAGTTCTGCGCATGCGCACTAACTTGTTTTTCACAAGAGCAGCGCTTAAAGTGAGCCGGTGGCGAAATCTCGCTGTCTTTCATTGCAGAGACCATCAAGCCTTCACCGAGACGCAATAACAGCATCTTTTGCTGTTATTCAGCTCTCGCAGCTCAATGACACTATCCAGTGTCGAAACTCGCTTTTTTTCATAAGAGATTATTTTCATAGACTTTGGCCGTGTGATTTGTTTTTGGGTTTTTTTTGTCTACAAAACTTTGTACAATTTATTTTCTTGCCACCATGGTGCTAGGAAAGGTAAAGAGCTTCGTTGTAAGCTACGACTGTCTCAATGACAGCAATGTCCCTGTTTTCTCAAGTGGGGACTCCGTCTCAGGTAGAGTTATTATTGAAGTCACAGGGGAGATTCGTGTAAAGTCACTTAAAATACATGCAAAGGGATTTGCAAAAGTTCGTTGGACAGAATCACGAAATGCTGGATCCAACACTGCCTACACTCAAAATTATACAGAAGAAGTGGAATATCTGAATCATAGAGACATCCTTATTGGCCACGAAAGAGGTAAGAATACAGATCAAACATGCTCTCAGTGTAGATTTGTTCCGAATAGAACAGTTGAATATACTGGTGGGAATGGGATGGATGCTCAGTAGTCCAAGATGACATAACATACTTTGGATGCTGCACAGTAACTTGTTGACCGGTGGATCTGTAGACAGTATTGTGTACATGCATATGCATTTCTTTTCTTTATCAATTGTTTTAATGTATTTCATTTGTTGGATTCGATTGGCTCGAAAAATACACCATATACATAGAACATTACATGGCGATCAGTCATTCAAAAAAATATTGGGAACATGGATGCTTAATTTTCACAATTCCGTTTTGATCGCATAAATGCGTGATATGAAGCACATTTATTTATTTGATTCTGGACTACACTTAAACATTCTTTCAGGTGTCAGTGACAGCTTGAATGAATGGTGGCCATAGTTTGCCCATCTCATGCTACAGATGAAAAACGAAATTCGTATTCGGTGTTCCACCGCATATATTTCTTTTGAAAAATAAATAAATAAATAAATAAATAAACAACGTGCATAAATCTCATATAATATCACAGTAATGACATATCTTTCGGCATAATGCCTTAAGTTTCCACCCATTGTTAGAAGCGGTTCAATCCTGTTTTGATGCAGTGTCTTGCCGTTCTTGTCTCTGATTGGTGGAGTCGCCAACGTGTCTTCTGTGACCTCATGCTTTTGCGGAAAGTGAGAAAAACAGCAACTTTGCACCAGTGGCGGTAGTATACAATGCTGCATACAGTGGCTATTACATTTAAATGCATTCAGTGGTCCAGTATCATTCTATAAAACGTCAATGCTGACTGACAACCTCGCTGTATAATGTTCATGCATTCACATTTGAAATTGACCAGGGTCATTCTACATTTGAGGAATCATATTCCTGTCAACTGTTTTCACACTGTACATTTTAAACCCTCAATTGCATATTTTTTGAGGTAGAAAACATAAATTGTACAAATACCTGTTTTGATAACTGCAAGTCTTTCAGTAGTGTCAGCTCTGGCTGTTTAAGCCACATAAAACGTTTGCTAAAAAGCAAAAACAACGTTCTCTTTTCAACCAGTTCGACATTTAAATTTTCTCTCCACTCGTTCCACAATTTCTGCAACTGTACAAAGCTCATGAATATTTAATTAAGTAAGCACCGAGGCAATTCATTGGTTGTCTGTTACCAAACAACTTGACATAATGTTCTACCGCTGCATTGTTCCATTCCATTTTAACTTACTGACTGAGCAGGACTTCAAAACACAGGGTTACAAAATTACAAGTGTGAAACTTTGCTTTTGGGGGGGAAATGTGACCCAAATTGTATAACTTTTTCCATATTCAGTCGCTATTCTTTGTTGTGAAGTTTTGGTTGGCCTGATCTGGCTTATGTTACAGAACGAGCCAGTATTTTTTTTTTTTTTTTTTTAATGTTGGAACTTATTCGTTGTATATGAATCAAGTAGTGCATGTAATGACTGTTAGTTGCATGCGTATTGTGATTTGAAAGAAATTCTTGCTCCTGTAAAGTTCTAATCTAAATAATGTGTCTAATTGTCACTTTGCTGTTTCTGTATGAGTAATTGGTTACAATAAAGATCAATTTATTATGGAAACTGGTCGTCTTTCTGTCGTTTCTGATTGTTGGTATTTTTTTTTTTTTTTTGATTAATTAATTTATTTGACATAATATTTCTCTCACGTGTATTGTTGAATGGGAGAACGCTCGTGAGGTCCACGCCGCAGCACACGAGATTCAATTGGGAGGCGTGTACGCGCGCGCTCGCCGCCCGCCGCACACTGAATACGTAATGAGCGCTCCTGCACAGGGAAGCAGTTGGCTCCGGTTTAGTCCGGTCTTCTCTTGCTGGAGTCTGCCTTTGATTGACAGCTCCGTGGTTGTTTACCATGGCTCCGCTAAGCTGAATGGAGTGCGGAGTGCTTACTGCTGAGCTGGCAAAACGAAAGCCACCGGTGCTTTTTTGTGTTACACAAACATTATTTAACATCGGAATTTTGTTTCACATTTTCATGTGAACTGCAGTGGATCTTACGAATATATATCCCATTCAGAATACATACTGAAACTTGATACACCTGTCAAGTGCAATGATTGTATGTGATTTAAATGCCTATGATTCATGGGTAAAATATATTTGTGATGCATATGATTTTTGCTGGGGTTAATTTTCTGAGAATCAAACTTATCTTTTATCAAAGTTTGCTTATGTTTACATTTAAGCATTTAGCAGAAGTATCATGCTTATGTGCTTTAATAAATTAAATCATGTAACAAACAAGAAGATGATCAATGCTTTGGCAGGTAAGGTATATTTGGAATATTGTTCTCTTCTGTTTCAGATGATGATAACTCTGAGGAGGGGCTTACCACTATTCATTCAGGAAGACATGAGTATGCATTCAGCTTTGAGCTTCCACAAACGTAAGTTTTGGTCAGATGTGGCACCAAAGCTAATAACTGTTAATCTGCACTGTATGTTATAACTCTTATTATATTTATATTGTCATGCACATGCAGACCTTTGGCTACCTCGTTCGAAGGGAAGCATGGCAGTGTGCGCTACTGGGTAAAGGCTGAGCTGCACAGGCCTTGGCTTCTGCCCATGAAGACCAAGAAAGAGTTCACTGTCTTTGAACACATCGACATCAACACTCCTCTCCTGCTGGTGAGTGTTCGCATCCCTCTATTAGTCCTGATTCATCAATGCATTGTTGAAGATTAACCATTCAAGGTTCTTGCATTCTAACGTTTTGGTATTCTACTTTATACAGTCTCCTCAGGCAGGAACTAAAGAAAAGACGCTATGCTGCTGGTTTTGCACCTCAGGTCCAATCTCCTTAAGTGCCAAAATTGAACGGAAGGGTTATACTCCAGGTAAATCTTCTGACAGTTATTGTTTTCACTTGATATTTGGAACCCCACTGTATTTCTACATGATACTAGGGTTGCATCACATGATTTTTTTTTTTTATTAATCTGTCAATTAGTTATACATTATATTAATTACAATAACAATGTCAATAAAAAGTAAAGGAATTAATCCCCTTATTTATACTGCCCAATGTTGTCCCCCAAACAATGTGCAATCTGAAGGCAAAAGAAACAAATAGGCCTATAGTGACTGTACTATAATGTGTCTATGTATGCTATGTGCAGTCAAACAAAATTAAAATGTAATTAGAAAATATAATTAGAAATGAAAAATGTCGCTTTACTGCCACTGCTCTGATTAAAAAATACAATTACTTGTGTCTCATGTTGAATTTCAAAATTCCATTTCATGTGTAAAATCTAATATTTAGAATAATGTAAATTTTAGTCTGAATTATTGTGCTCTTCTACTCTAATAAGCTTTAGTTTGGAGTGCTTAATTTTACGCATTCTCATCTGTAGAAAAAAACTGAACTGTTTTCCAGATGCATTTTGTTCATAGAAATTACTTAGTCATTCACTCTTGTAAAGTGACATAATTGGCGGATGTTTTTGTGCATAGTGCGCATGCTGGATTAATCATTCATCAAATTTGTTGTTGATTATTTTCATTAGGGATTTGATTGATTCATTGTTGCAGCCCTACATGATACCCCTTGATACATTCTGGTACCATTAACAATGCATCATTTCTTTACACAGGAGAGTCCATTCAAATCTTTGCAGAAATCGAAAACTGTTCCTCACGCATGGTTGTGCCAAAGGCTGCCATTTACCAAACACAGACCTTCTTTGCCAAAGGGAAGATGAAGGAGATCAAGCAATTGGTGGCCAACATCCGAGGGGAGTCGCTTTCTTCAGGCAAGACGGAGACATGGAGTGGAAAAATGTTAAAAATCCCTCCTGTATCACCCTCCATCCTCGACTGCAGTATCATTAGAGTGGAGTACTCACTCATGGTAAGTGTTTATTTATTTATTTTTTTAGATTACCGATCATCTCTACATGTGCCGGCATTTTCTATAGCTTAAAAATCGAAATAATGCAGGAATTTTCAGAGCTTTATGTCAATTACAAGCAGCTGAAGGATCAGTTCCTTGAACACCCCTTATGCTTTCCACACATGCAGCTCCATTAACGATAAGGAGATTATGCCAAGGTCTCCTAGCACATACTGATAAGAAGATCAGCCTAAAAATATCTGATGAAATTCAGGCCATTGAGTGATAATGGCCTATTAACCCCACAAACCAATCTGTCATCGCTCGTATCTGAATATTAGAGTTTACTATTTCAAGCCATCATGAATACATAAATAATGCTGTTATATATTTTTTTTCCTCCTACAATTTATTTAGTTCCTTGACTTTTGGCAAAAGCATTTAATCTAAAGTTATTGAAAATACGCTGAATCCTTGTTTTTTCAAATAACTGAAATCATGACTCATCAAATACTGTTTCAGGGTCCAAGTCTCTATTCCTCTAATCTGTTTTCCGTTTATTTACCAAATTGAAAATTTGTCATGGAGATAAAGGTTAGGATCATATTTTTCATTGGTAGTACTGCACACCATGAGTGTATTTTAGCACCGTTTGTTTGCTTTTGGGATACTGAGAAGCATTTGGACCTGGAAACAGTGACAACCAGATGGTTTTGCCAGTCATATTTACAAATCAAGGTGCACTATTTGTGAAATGATTAACCTAAAATCCCAATATTATTATCTGCAGGTGTATGTAGATATCCCAGGAGCCATGAACCTATCTTTAAACCTGCCCCTGGTGATTGGGACCATCCCCCTCCATCCTTTTGGTAGCCGTACATCTTCTGTGAGCAGTCAGTGCAGCATGACCATGAGCTGGTTAGGCATGGCCCTCCTGAGAGGCCTGAAGTAAGGAAACGAAAAACTAAATGTTCGGGGCGGCGGGGGGGTAACGAAAATTCTGTCATCACTTACAAATTGTATGAATTTCTTGCTTCTGCTGAACACTGAGAGATATTTTGAAGAATTTCAGCTGAATGGGCCCCACTGATT